ACAAAGTATATATTTTTTAAATATTGTAAAAGTAAATCTTTATAACATTTGTAAAGTAAAAACAAAGTATATATTAATACAACATTTTTCAAAATATTGTAAATTCATACCTGTAACTCTCAAAAGTGAAATGTTGGTAATGGTGAGTTAAAAGTATTAAGAAATATTATTAGATTGCGTATCAAATTTTCATTGCACTCAGTCATTGTAAGGAACTTTCCATACTTTTATAATTATGCAATAAAATGTACAGGAGATTATAAAACTCTCAGAATAAAGATGGCTTTTAAATTGGTCAAAATTCAACACAGAACTGAATGGATCTTCCAAATGAAACTCTAATTTATAAAAACTAAAATGGAAAAGAAAACTATCTCAGCAAGACTGATAAATGCTAGACATTGTTATAGGTGCTTCATATATGTGTTTTCTAGTTTCATTCTTAAAACAGAATCCTGGTCCACAAAATTGGCATGTTTTATGAATAAGGAAACTACAGATTTTAGAATATAACATGCCTAGGGCCACATAAAAACTCAATGATATGGAAAATGAATAATAAAAGCCTCTTGTTCAGAATGGAAATTATGAAACCAGAAATGTCAGTCTCCCTTTGAGAAGGCTCTCTGAACTTTCGTTTCCAGATAAGATGGAGTAATAGGAATCAGATTTACCCTCTCACCTGATAAAACTTTTAAAAAATTAAACAAAATGGTGCAACTGTGTAAGACATTGGATATCAGGCAATGGAAGAGAGAGATCCATAAGAGATGGAAGCAAATGAGGTGGGCCCTATAATTGCCCCAGCTTACTACACCTTGAGAGAGCTACGCAGCCACAGCACAGGGATATGGAAACTACGGAGCCTGGCAGATTCCCTGACTTGAGTATTATGAATTCCCTGACTGAGGACATGGAGAGTCCAGGAAGACCAAGTCGATTAGAGTTCACAAGGGAGAGTACCCAAAAAAGAAAGCTGTACAGAAAGAGAAGCTCAGAGATTTTCAGAGGGTTCTATTAGAATATTCAGCAAAGCAGTGATCGGCACGAGTGTGTCAAGTAACTACCGAGGCTGGGGAAAAGCCATCCAACATGACTGGAAAACAGCGTCTAGTACCCTCACAGGGCTGGAACAGTGCCTGCTCCCACCAACCAGACTGGAAACCCTCATAATCCATGGAGTGGAGTACTCAGAAGCATTCTGCCTCAGAAGTGGGAAATAATCTGTCCTAAACAGTGCTCTAATCCTATCTAAACAAATCTGAAAAGACTTCAACAGATTGAACTATTTCCAAGTAACTTAACTGCATCCCAGAACAAATCTCAAGAATATTTATAGAAATACAAAAATATTCAGCACCCAACAAGGTGAAATTCACAATGTCTGGCACTCAATCAAAAATTATCAGACATGCAAAAAGCAGGGAAATAAGATCCATAATGATGAGGAAAAACAAACCAATTGAAACCAACCTAGAACTGACATAAATGTTAGAAAACATTAGAACAGTTATTACAATTTACTCCATGTGTTCAAATAGCCTGAGGAAAGATTAAGCATGTTACAGAAAGACGGTTTTTTCAAAAACAACCATTTGATCCAGCCATTCCACTCCTAGGTATCTACCCAACAGAAATAAAAAGCATATGGCCATAAAAAGTCTTGTATATAAACATTCACAGTAGCTTTATTTGTAATAGTCAAAAACTAGAAACAACCCAAATGTCTATCAATGGGTGAATGTATAAACAAATCATGATATAGCATTTAACTGTGAATACTACTCAACAATTAAAAGGAACAAATTTTTGATATATGCAATATAAGTGAACCTGAAAATAATCATGATACATGAAAGAAGCCAGACCCCACCCCATAAAAAGAGTAAACATATTATGATTCTATTTATTTAAAATTCCTGAACATGCAAACGACTCTACAGTAATGGAAAGCATAGCCACCACAGCCAGGGCCAAAGTGGGGAGCAAGAGAGGAAGTACCCAGGGGCACAATAAAGCTTCCAGGGGTGATGGAGATGTTCATTACCTTGATCATAGTGATGGTTTCACAGGCTTATATCCAGGACATTATAATTTTCATGGGCTCTAGGCACTTCTCTGCCTTGATGGGCCCCTTCCTCCATAAAAAATATTTAAATTTTTTATAGCATTTTAAAACTATGTTGGTACAAAGATGACTATGTTAATATCATAGATTAAAACATTTTCTTGACCTAAAAGTTCATTTTTTCTTATGATTTTGAAAGAAATTAAAACACTTTTATGGGCCTCTAAAATTATCATAGGTCCTTAGTACCTACTAAAACTAAAGGCTAAAAAAAAAAAAAGTGTATGTCAATTTTTATCAAATGGTACACTTGGAATACATATAATTTATCATGTCAAATATATCTCAGAGGCTGGGCGTGGTGGCTCACGCCTGTAATCCTAGCTCTCTGGGAGGCTGAGGCGGGTGGATCGTTTGAGGTCAGGAGTTCGAGACCAGCCTGAGCAAGAGTGAGACCCCATCTCTACTAAAAAAAAAAAAAATATATATAGAAAGAAATTAGTTGGACAACTAAAAATATATATTAAAAAAATTAGCCAGGTGTTGTGGTGCATGCTGAGGCAGTAGGATCACTTGAGCCCAGGAGTTTGAGGTTGCTGTGAACTAGGCTGATGTCATGGCACTCTAGCCTGGGCAACAGAGTGAGGCTCTATCTCAAAAAAAAAAAAAAAAAAAAAAAAAAAAAATTACATAAAAAAAAATATCTCAGAAAAGTATTTTGGAAAACAGAGGCTAATCTAATATAAGAGAAACTAAATAAATCACTCTTTCAATGGCACTTTGTTTAAATGCTATATGTTATAAAGCCCTTCTATTTAAAAAGTGATAAGAAAGCCAAGACTCCCCAAGGCACTAAACAATCTGCTGATTAATCATATTAAGACTCACTGAATTACATGTGTGCTCTATAGTAAGTAGTAGATTCCACTTTGTGTTCCTTACCATTCATTATAAGCAGTCTCTTTGTCAACTGTTCTACTATAGAGACTATCAAGATACACCTAAACATGAACCTCTATGTATAGACAGAAGTCAAAATTTGTGTAAGACTGCAAAATATGTAAAGTGAAGACACAGCTAACATAGGACACAGTGAAAGCTCACATACTGTACTTAATAATACAATTAACTTAATGTCAATCACAGTTATGGGTTGAATTGTGTCCACCAAGAAAATATGGCAAACTTCTAAATTCCAGTACCTCCAAATATGACCTTATTTCTCCTTATGAAAAGAGGGAAGACAATGTGAAGATGGACACAGAAGGGGAGAATGCCATGTGATAATGGAGGCGTACATTGAAATGCTATGGCTACAAGCCTAGGACACCAAAGGTTGCCAGCAAACCACCAGAAGCTAGGAAGAAGCAAGGAAGGATTCTCCCCTAAAGGTTTTAGAGGGAGCATGGCCCTGCTCACAAGTTGATTTTGGACTTCTAGACTCCAGAACTGTGAGACAATAAATTTCTGTTGTTTTAAGCCACCAAGTTTGTGGTACTTTGTTATGAAAAACCTAAGAAACAAATACAGTATCTTAGATGCAGTTACTTGCAAAGACATCACAGCATTTTCTCATCTACAGTTAATTCTTTATTCAAAAATATAAAAATCTTAGAGTACTTCCAGAAAGTTTTTTCCTGATGGCAGATGTTTATAATTGTTTGAACCAAATTAAAATGCTCTGACAATTTCTAATCATAAAACCATAACATGTTGTTTTCTGTCAATATTTATTCATCGACAGTGGAAAGCAGGGATATGAACTTAGTTCCTTCTGATGCCAACACCCACTGCATTTGTTCCATAGTTCCACTAGATTAAAATTAAAATTATGAAGTTTGTGCAAAGTCATCTTTATATTTTTACCAAAACATCATTTAAGAGGTATTTAAAAATCTTTAGTACAAAGGAATATCTGAGATTTTATGACACTTATAAACTAATATGAGTTTATAATATAAATATTATAAAAGAACTTTAAAATACTAGATTTATTGAAACTGCATAGTTTGTTAATTGATTAAATTTCTCAGTATCAATAATTTATACTTCCTCATATATTTTGCCAATCTTCATATTTCCCACACAGAATAATACAACCAACAATAACTTAAAAAGCAGTCTGTGACTTATTCATTTAGGAACAGTGAAAGAAGAAAAACTTAAGTCTACAGGTACTCATGTAGTTACAACTATATTTTAAATTGGGGGTGGGGGGATCAATCCTGGCAGACCTCCAGACCTCAAGAGGTCATAGTTACAATAACTTCCTGAGTTGCTTCCTGCTGCATTAATGGTTTTAAATCAAAAAACTAAAACTGGCAAGGAAAGAAAATCCTAAAATGAAGCATCACCCTTCAAACATAAATCTCCCTCAGTCTTCTTCCCATTAAATGTAGGGCATTGTCTAAGGGAAGAAAAAACTACACTAGAAAGTTCTATGTCTGAGTGGTTTTTAGTTAATTAGAGGGAAGACCCTCAAATTACTAAAAAGGACAAGAGATTAAGATATAGATGTTTGGACGATAAATGGCTTATTCTTTTTAAAGTAAAAAGAAAGCAAAAAATAATTTTTCTTCTTAAAACATAAATAGAAAAAAGAATGAAGAGATAATTTAGATAACTGTATTCTTTTCTCAGAAGTTTTAGAGGGGTGAGGCAAAATGGACATCAGTTACCAGATTATCTCAGAGAGAAGGAAAAGTTTTAGACAAAACAAAACATAGCTCAGATGTAATTCTGAAGGAAGAGTGCTAGAACCTACCAGAGATTCCATGGGAAGTTGTGAAGCACAACGAGGAAGAGCAAGATTTTGGCAGAGATCAACCCCTGAGGAACTTGGAGTCCTGTGGAGAGGGTAGGCGTGGGTTTTGTTTCCCCTGCCCTAACACCTCTGCCAGACTGTAGGCCCCCAATCTTCTGGGGAGTTTTTCTACCCTCACAAGTCCAAAAGCTGCTGCTACCAGTGAACTGGGAGCTTCTTGAGAACAGAACACTAGGTTACCAGCCTCATCTGGGTCACTCCCCCTCACACCACAGACCCAAGCCAAAGTGGTGGGTGCCATACTGCTTCTCCACCCATTGTGCCCCTTTGTCCTCCCCAGGGAGCCCTTCAGTTTACTTGTCACTGGTCCCCACACAAACATTTCCCAACTCCTGCCCAGACTGTGGTAACCACAGGAAGCAGTGGGTCCCAGGGGAACTGTCTAATCCCAGAGCTTGGACATTAGAGGTGGGCTGCCTTTTGGGGAGAAGAATAAATAGGTCCAGAGTGCCAGAACTCCTTCACTCAAACTCTCCTCCTCCCCAGCCACTCCACCGCCCACTGCTGCCAACAGGAACAGGTGCCTCAAGGGACAACTGATCCAGAGCTCTCAGGAGTAGCTGCCTCCTCTCTGTCTGTGTGCCCCTCTCTGTCTGTGTGCCTGCCACATCCAGATTTCCAAAGAGAGTGGGGCTCATGCCTTTCCTCTTAAAGACCTGCAGAGGGCCAAGGGGCACTCAGACTATGAGGTCCCTGACTGGCAGCCCTCCCCAGTGCTGCTCACAATAGTCCAAGAGGGAAAACAAAACAATAAGGTATCATCCAACATGTTTAACAGAACAGCATGCAATACATCAATACTAACACTCAATGTGAACGTCTGAATGCCCCACATAACACGACTGCCACAATAGAAAAAAAAATTTTTCCTTGGAGCCACAGTGTTTTATTATGGAGATCGAATAAAAATATCTAGAACAAACCAATCTTTTCTAATTTAATGAAAAATTTGTTATTTTTTATTGTCTTCTATGTTTTTCCAATAAAAAATATAAAACTTGAAAATTAGTAATGTAAAAAGTAATGTGAAGGCATGAAAAACAGTTCATAAGGGTAAAGTGCTTTTCTTGACTCATCAGACTTAAGTGTAATTTAAAGGTAAACATTAAATGAAAAATGTTTACTATTCTATTCATTAAATCATTTTTAGAATTGTCAATATGAAATATAATAATACAAACATCAAAAAGTAAAATTTCCATGAATGAACTGCAGGGTTTTGCCCAGGTTTTCTTCATGAGGCCCCAGGCTCAAAACTAGTGTAAGTTAAATACAACTCACATGGCAGTTAATGTGTTAAAAAAAAACATAGGCTGAATGGATGAAAAACCACAACCCAACTATTTGTTGTTTCCAAGAAACATCTAAACCACAAGGACTCACACAGACTCAAGGCAATGGGATGGAAAAAAATATTTCATTTAAATGGAAACTAAAAGTGAGCAGGTGCATCCATTCTCATATCAGATAAAATTGACATTAAATCAACAAAGGTAAAAAAAATATATTATCATTACATAATGGCAAAGGGAGCAATTCAAAAAGAAGACATAACAATCCTAAATATATATGCATCTAACACAGGAGCTCCCAGCTTAATAAAGCAAATTCTTCTAGATGTAAGCAAAGAAATAAACAATAGCACCTAAATTGTTGAGAACTTCAACACTCCACTGACAGAACTAAATAGATCATCGAAGCAGAAAATGAATAAAGAAACACTAGACTTAAACAGGTCTATAGAACAAATGGACCTAACAGACATTTATAGAACATTCTACCCCAAAACTACTGAATATACATTTTTCTCATAAGCACACAGAATATTTTCCAAGATTAATCATATCTTAGGTCACAAAATAAGTCTCAGCAAATTGAAAAAAATCAAAATAACACCATGTATCTTCTCAGACCACAGCAGAATAAAACTAGAAATCAATTCCAAGAGAAACACTCAAATCTATACAAAGTCATGGAAACTGAAAAATCTGCTGCTGAATGATCCTTGGGTCAATGATAAAACTAAGAAGGAAATCAAGATTCCTCAAACCAAATGACAAAGAGGACACAGCTTTCAAAATCTATGGGATACAGAAAAAGCAGCCCTAAGAGGAAAATTCATAGCCTTAGATGTCTACATCAAAAAGACAGATCACAAATTAAGAACCTAATGTCACATCTCAAAGAACTAGAAAAAGAAGAACAAACCAAACCCAAAGCCAGCAGAAGAAAAGAAATAACAAAGCTCAGAACAGAACTAAAGAAAATAGAAACCAAAGAAAATACAAAGGATCAATGAAACAAAAAGTTGATTCTCTGAAAAGATAAAATCGATAGAGTACTAGCTAGATTAACCAGAAATAGAAGAGAAAGGATTCAAGTAACCTCACTCAGAAATGAAAAAGGAGACATTTCTGATGTCACAGAAATACAACATAATATCTGTGAATCCCATGAAAACTTCTACACAAACAAACTAGAAAACCTAGAGGAAATGGATAAATTTTTAGAACACACAACTGGTCAACCCTTAACCAAGAAGAAATAGAAATCCTGAATAAACCAATAGTGAGCAGCAAGACTGAAGCAGTAATTTAAAAAAAAATCTCCCAACAAAAAAAACCTCCAGACCAGATGGATTTACAGCCAAACTCTACCACACCTACAAAGAATAAACTGTACCTATCCTACAAAAACTATTTCATAACATAGAGAAGGAGGGAATCCTCCCTAACTCATTCTATGAAGCCAGTATCACCCTTTTATCAAAGTCAGGAAAGGACACAACAAAAAAAGAAAACTACAGACCAATATCCCTTATGAATATAGATGTAAAAATCCTCAGTAAAATATCAGCAAACAGAATTCAACAGCACATCAAAAAGATAATCCACCACGATCAGGTAGATTTCATACCAGGGATGCAAGGATGGTTTGACATACACAAATCAATAAACAGGAACAAAAACAAAGATCATATAATCATCTCAATACATGCAGAAAAAGCATTCGATAAAATCCAACACCCTTTCATGATAAAAACCCTCAACAAACAAGGCATAGAAGGAACACATCTCAAAATTATACAAGACATATATGACAAACCTACAGCCAACATCATCCTAAATGGGGAAAAGTTGAAAGCATTCCCCCTAATAACTGGAACAAGTGTGCCCACTGTCACCACTTCTATTAAATTTAGTATTGGCAGTCCTAGGCAGAGTAATCAGTCAAGAGAAAGAAATAAAGGCAACCAAATTGGGAAAGAGGAGGTCAAAATATCCCTGTTGGCTCACAATATGATATCGTCCTAGAAAACTCTAAAGATGTCACCGAGACTGCTGGATTGATAAATAAATTCAGGAAAGTGTCAGGTTACAAAAATCAATGTCGACAAATTAGTAGCATTTCTACATACAAATAACAGTCAAGTGGAGAGTCAAATTAAGAACTCAATGCCATTCACAACAGTGACAAAGAAAATAAAATATCCAGGAATATACTTAACCAAGGAGGTGAAAGATTCCTACAAGAAAAACTACAAAACACTGATGAAAGACATTGCAGATGACACAGACAAATGGAAAACCATACCCTACTCATGGATTGGTATAATCAACATTGTTAAAATGTCCATACTGCCCAAAGTGATTTACAGATTCAACGTAACCCCCATCAAAATACCAGTGTCATATTTCACAGATCTAGAAAAAATAATTCTATGCTTCATTAGGAACCGAAAAGAGCCCGAATAGCCAAAGCAATCTTAACCACTCCCCAAAAAAAAAGAAAAAGAAAAAATGTGGAGGCAACACATACCTGACTTTAAATTGTACTACAAGGCTATAGTTACCAAAACAGCATGATACTTGTATAAAAGTAGAGATATAGACCAATGAAACAGAATAGAGAACACAGAAATAAAACTATCTACTACAACCAACTGATCTTCAAGAAAGCAAACAACCTACACTGGGGAAAAGAAACCCTATTCAATAAATTATGCTGGGAAAATTGGATAGTCACATGCAGAAAAATGCAACGGGACCTCTCTCTCTCACCACATACAATAATTAATTTAATTAAATACAGCCTTAAATGTAAGACATGAAACCATAAAAATTCTAGAAGAAAATGTAGAAAAAAACTCTTCTAGACATTGGCTTAGGCAAAGAATTTATGACTAAGACTCGAAAGGCAAATATAGCAACAACAAAAATAAATAAACGGAACTTAATTTAAAAAGTTTCTGCACAGAAATGGAAATAATCAACAGAGTGAATAGACAGCCTACAGAACAGGACAAAATATTCATAAACCATACATCCAACAAAGGACTGATAGCCAGAATCTACAAAGAACTCAAACAAATCAGCAAGAAAAAAAACAAATGATCCCATCAAAAAGTGGGCAAAAGACATGAACGGAAGTTTTTCAAAAGAAGATAGACCAATGGCCAACAAACACACGAAAAAAATGCTCAACATCACTAATTATCAGGGAAATATAAAATAAAACTATCATGAGATATCCTATCAGAATGACCATTATTAAAAAGTCAAAAAACAATAGATTCCAGCTGGTATGGATGCAGAAAGGAACACTTATACACTGTTGGTGGGACTACAAATTAGTACAACTTCTATGGAAAGAGATATGGAGATTCCTCAAAGAAATAAATGTAGACCTACCATATGATCTACAATCCCCCTACTGAGTATCTACCAAAAGGAAAAGAAGTTTTTTTATCAAAAAGGCACCTGCACTCAAATGTTTATTGCAGCACAATTCACAATTGCAAAAATGCAGAATCAACCTAAGTGCCCATCAATTCATGACTGGATAAAGAAAATGTGGTATATGTATACCATGGAGTACTACTCAGTCATAAAAAGGAATGAAATAATGTTGTTTGTAGCAACTTAGATGGAACCGAAAACCATTAGCCTAAGTGAAGTATGTCACGAATGGAAAACCAAACACCGTATGTTCTCAACAATAAGTGGGCGCTAACAGATGGGTATACACGGGCACAAAACAATATAAGGGACATGAGAACCAAGAAGCGGGGAGGGTAGAAGGGGATATGTAGGATTAAAAACGTACCTATTCAGTACAATGAACACTACTCTGGTGAAGGGGACACCAAAAGCCCTGTCTTAAGCATTATACAAGGTGATTATATAAAAAAAAAAAAAAAAAAATATCCCTATAATCCT